TCCTTATCCAACCGAGTTGATAGAATAAGTTCTAGTCGTGATATATGCTGAATCAAGGAGAGTTTGGATGCTTTTCGGTTACCAGGCCACGGACAGGACCCCAGTGAGCATTTCCGGCCATTGATAATGTAAATCTGGGTGCTACTATATTTCTGAGGATAATGCCAGGAAGACGGGTTTGCCCGGCTCTAAAAATTGGTATTAGTAATTTACACCTCTATCACTAGCTCACTAGTCCATAGCGTGTGCTATACCATACAAGTAGAATATCACTATATATATATAGTTTACCTCCAACTAGAGCACGCTATGTTTATATAGGTGAAAGTAGAAACACTGTTCCCAAGTTTATGTATCTGGATCTGCTTCTTTTTGCCTTCCAGAAAACCGACTGGGCAGGTGACGATGACGCGTGCAGTTCCTATGGTAAGTGCTCAAACATGATTGATAACCGCGCATTGCGGCTCCAAAGAGAGGGGGGGGGTGGGGGAGAAATTACGTAGACTCACATACGTCTCCTTAACATAACCTCTGAGCAACCCCGATGTGAGGGAATTGATCAAAAAGAGTTGAGAAGAAAGGAGGGAACTTGAACGACTTAAATTCCCTCTCTTGTCCAGAAGCCCAATTCATGATCTTTGACCTCCAGAGCGCTGAGGACATTCAGGACATGCAGAAGGGCATCAATTGATCCATTCCCGACTCGTACTGGTGCGGACGAATCACGAGAAACTTTTGATCTTTGAGATCCAGGAGGCCTTGGAGGAAGGCCTTGACTGGCAGTGGCTGGGTCTGTCACTTGATAAACTTTTCACAACGTCTAAGGGACTCAAGGACCGGAAGGACCTGTTGAATAATCTCAAGGTCGCCAAGAGAACTTTCCTTGAACTTGTGGACAGATTTGGTGAGACCGGGCTCTGGACATTTCAGTTAACAAGCTTAACGATTCCTGGCCAGGTGGGCTTACTTCTTTCCTTGTCGTCCCATAATGCAGAAAGGGGTGGACAAGCAGGATTCTAAGAAATAGCATCGCTCGAGTACTTGCATTGACGGGATCCGAATTGCTGTCATGTTGCATGTTCTTCACTTTATGATTTCTAACTTTTGTTTTTATCATTCATGAGAATATAGTTTCAATGAAAGGACATTGAATAACTGTACGTGACAGAATTAATAGAATAACAAGGGCTTTGGTGGCGTGGAACCTCATTATGGTCAGAGAATTCTGCTGAGCTTTCTCGAGCTGCAACCCGCCACATCATCTCTACTATCTAGTGCTGCCATATCTTCGCTGGGGTGAACCGAAGCTATTGTGATTTAAGCAGTATTATGGGCTCTATTTTCCATTCTGCTTTGTGATTTAGTGTTCAGGATCTGGACATGTAGTAACCTTTAGCGGAAGCTTACATTGCAGAATGTGTTTTGTACTTTAATTAGCTCTACTGTCAATAGTAGTTGCCTACCAACACCTTCTCTCTCTCTCTCTATCTCTATCTCTTTTTATATGATTTGGGTCGGTGGATGTGGATATTGAGCGTAGAATTGAAATGGCAATAAGGAGTGTGGGCACGCTGGGTCAAGCTAGAAAGCTTGCCCAGCGCCAGCTCTAACATATGTACACAGTAAATACACACAGTGGTAACACACATCAGAAGACCGTCACTGAACCGTCCAATTCCCCCAGAAAGTAGGCTCGACGTTGAGGCGGCCGGTGGACGTTGCGTTCCAGTTTCCAGCAGCAAAGCTGACCGTTTCATTGCTGACGGTGTAATTTTGAATCAGCAGTCCCGTCCCATTCGGCGGATGCTGTCCCATTCTAATCTGCTTATTTCCGTTATTGGCATCTGTAAATCCGCGCACCATACTGACATCCAGTTGCGTGGTAGCTGGATAGAACTCCTCGATCGAGGCATTCACGATCCTAAACCTATCGATATTCGAAAGCAGATTGACCGCGATCAGAGGCGGCGAGATGCCTTCCGTGCGGATGTTGGAGACGGTATGGTGTTACTGACGTTTGCGGTGTTTGTCGCCGACGAGTCTAGATAATAGGCGGACGATCCGACCAAACCACGAGGGTAATACTCCGAACCTGAGATGTATCTGGTGTGGATCACGTCGACTCGATCAACGGAAACGTTGGTGATATTGCGCGAATACCAGCCCATTTGGATGATAGGGGCGTTGTTGGTCTTCCACACCACAATTCGCTCGGCGCGGACATTGGAGTAGTAGGTCTTTATGGTGTCATCTCCAGAGTGGTAAAACACATCCCGGACGTGACTGCTTGGGTACATCTGCAATCCATCTGTCTGTGTGTAGAAGCTGCCCACCTGCTTATAATTGGCCACGTCTATATGGAAGTTGTCGAGATCTCCATAGAAGTCCATGCCATTGAACGGTTGTGCGTTGGTTGAGAGCCCGCGGAGGGGCCGCCGCAAATTGCGATATGCTAGAAAACGTTCCCAATGGACAAAGGATACATCATAGCTTGACTGACCTCCAGCTGCACTGACCTTAACGTATATATGCTTTGGACATGGTGCTCGGGGTGGGACGGAAAAAAGAAGGCTTAGGAGTCAAATGCACCGACCTTCTGTCCAACAGGGAGGAAACAACCATTCCTGATAGCATGCAGCTCCGTTTATGTCCGAACGACTTGTTCCCGCTCGCTCGCATATGTCGACAAGCTCAGCAACGCGGAGAGGAAGACGGATCAGGGGGACTCTATCAGACGTGGTTCTTGGGTCATGGGTTCTCTCTTTCGTTTGGCCGTCCTCGGTCTTGTCCATCGATTCGAAGCTGACATGGCTATTGTTAGTTGATTCGGCTAGAAATGACGGGACTTTCGCCTCACCTGCTCCATGCAAGCAGACTCGACTAACAACCTCGCCAGTACGAAAATACGGCTCTAGCAAGACAAAGCATCGGCTCCTTTCGGTGTCTTCGGGTTTTTAGGCTCGAAAGATGCTAAGCGCCATCGGAGGACAACGATGGTCACCCACTGGACACCAGGGATCCAAGCCGCAAGTAGGTTATCCTATGAGGGTGTTCGAATGCCGAGAGGCAGACACTGCTATGCGCTCTATTGGGTCTTGCACCAGGTAGGCATACCAACGCATGATCTGATGAACCAAATCGACTGGGCGAAGTTCGAGGTAGCGACGCGTCGATGCCACTAGTAGTAATGTGGAAAAACAGAGCATACCATGGTATTGGTGTAGGGGAGGTCGAGTAGACAAGACATTTGCTCGCTTCGCATTCGTGTGTGAGAATCTGAGGGTGTCTCCTGTTGTGAGATCCGAGTCAGCATGTGTTGATCCAGTTGGACGAGGTGTCGTGCTTTACGTTGTTCATGAAGAATTCTCCGAGTATACGGTTGAGATAAGACAGATGGTCAATTAGGATCGTCATCATACCAGCTTACCAACTAGATCACTGCCAATTCTGTTCTGCAATGCGGTCACCAACACGCCATGTTGTATCCAGGTTCGTCGCACTCTCCGGCTGTCGCTTCGAGAAGCCACGCTGGATGCATCGGACAAGTTCACAAGATGGCAAAGGCGCGCGACGAACCCACCTATGACAAGAAATTGTACAGTCGTAAAGGGAGACTGCTTCGTGTGTAGGCACTCCGTTGCTGAGGGTGTGAAGGCGGTGAGGTGGAAGGCGAAAGACGCGATGGAGCGCGTCGGCCCCTTGGTCTTATCTGACTCGACGGGAATAGCTTACTCGCCATAAGAGTTTTCACAATGGGCGATGGGCTGCTCCTACAACGGCATGAATATGTCAGTGGGGTTCGTGTCTGGGGCACAGACTTGGCACAAATCATCGGACCCGGCATAGCAGGAGGAGCGATATTCCACTCACTTCATCGTCGACAACGAACGTCTGGAGCTTCTGCGTCCTGTTGTTGGCCCGCGGTCTTGGTTTGCAGTATTTTATATAGGACATGTTGCGCCGTTTGAAGTAATAGGGCCAGAAATGGCGTGTAAGCCATGACCCTGCGCGAAGCACTGACGGAGTGCTGGTTCGGACTCACTCTGGTGCGCTGTCAACGGTATCCTGTCTATCGTTAGCTTGTCGGTCGGCGAGGCAATGCATGACTCACATGTTCTGAAAGAAGACACGGGAAGGGGCTCCCTGGCTGGAGTATATTGGACGGAACGCACGGATCTTTCTTTCGCATCGTCTTTGAAGTCAGTCTAGTTTCGGAAAGGGTCGCGCTGAAATCTATATACCTGTATGGAGATCGCTCCTTTGCATCGATATTCGTAGGCGGGATAGTGGTCGGCTGCTTTGGTAGACAGATATTCGCATAGATATGTACATCGACCATCTAACACAAATCTGCTTCTTTGATCGGCTGGCCTGGGTGGCATAGTGGACCTGGTGGGAATCTCATTCTCACAAGCACTTTCTAGCTTGTTAGTCCACAACGTAATTACAGTATAGATGTCAGTAGAGTGGAAATCCAGTAGGTCAAAGGGAAGAACTTATCAGGTGCCTCGAACCGAAGGCCTGCTCGACTTTGCGCAGTAAGTGACAGTGTTGTAGAACATATTGCTGGGGGGAGAGGGCGAATTTATAGGTTTCTCGGCTCCTGTCGCGTATCTGCTCTGCTAGGGAGCAAACGTTGGACACGATGCCTATCCTAAGTGAGGTCTGTTGCAACCTATGCCTTCGTTCTACCGCAACTATTTGTAGCGAAATTCTGGTGTCATCTTAGCTGCCTAGCGGAAAAAAAAGCTAGAGTCGTGTTATGAATGGGTCAAAGTGAGTCGGTTAAGAAACGTTGGCTCATAGTTCAATCTATGGTCCTAATACTGAGGCAATGGAAGCTGTTTATTCTTTGATTTTACTAAGAGCGCTCACATTTTCATCTAAGGAAGATGGAAATTTTCTGGCCTCGCTCGAGTGTTGATTGTCTGAGCTGTGTGTGGTTCTGTCCGTCTAGGCTGCGGAAAGCGTCAGGCCGCGGTCGCGCGGGCGCGGGTACTCAACCCGTCAACCCGTTGAAGCTTGGCCGTCCTTGTTGACGGGAGTCAACTTTTGAACATATGACCGGTGTTGAAATACGTTGTTCTTTGAGTCTCTTTTTCAATCCTCTGAATTTTAGTCTATTTACTTTTGGATTTCCGAGCTCTCCAACAAATGTGGAAAATGCGTTGTGATTGAATATATATCTCCTGGACCGTTCACCACCAGTAAGCCACTAATATGAGGCACATTCACCAACCATCAACACCACCAGAGTAAATCACCAGCACCATCATTAAACGGACTGCTAAGAGAGTGCTGAGATTGAAAAGCCGACTATGCTGATTGACCCTCATGGTAAAAATAAGACTGAGTACCTAGCCACCTATGTCTGCTAGTCTATAAAAGCCTCCAAGAATTGGTGGACATGCTATTGCCTAGATACTCGACTTTCCCCTGCGATCAAGATGGATGCCCCTAACAGCACGCCAGACTAGGAAAAAGAAGGAAAACAACAGCCTAGTGTATTGCCAATCGTTTCTGAAAAAGAGAATTCGTAGGAGGCTTCTGATTATGTCCCACCATAGGTAAGTAAAGCGGCTTAGCTTCCAATGCTCTTGCTGACTATCGCAGCTCTCTGCCTCGTAATAGGAAGCAGAAACAAGACGTACCTTGGCGACAGAGCCCTTTCAACCTATTTTGAAGGTGCTAGTAGACCTCGAACGCGACGATCCTAAGTTCGCCTTTCCCGTAGGTCGAATTGTCGGACTCTATCGACGCCTATGGGAGTCGTGCGTGTCCAAATATATCGACGGCTAGAAGCTAGAGCAGAGCAATTAGATATTGAAGGAGGCTAGCACACACCTGACTCAAGAGAGGGACGGACTTTAGCTGCGCCACGACAAGCAGCTGTCTCGGCTACGCTTTTTCGAGTAGGCACTGGAATCCTCTCGCGGTCGACTGACTAGGGTACTCGATGACTGGGATCACCCTTGCAGACTTAATCTGGTAGGGCTGCTAGATATGGCAAGAGAAGGTTGAAGGATTGTATATTCTTGATTGTCCTATGTCTTTTATAACGTGGAAAATATGCAATGTTGAAATGAAGAGAATTACTGCATGGAGAGCAGCTTATGCTTTTTCGATTGTTCACATTAAGAAGGGTATATTATAGCCTTTATGGAATGTGTCTGCGAATAATCCCACATGTTCTAGGACAATCCCACTTTTTGAATAACCCAATATATTATAAACAAAACTACGGATCAAGCGACAATGTGGGCTGTGTGGCTAGAGGAGAAAGTGCCGATTGACTGCGTTATCTCGTATTGCATCACGAGAGCTACCGGAAGTAGATGTCGCTAGCTCGTATAGACCACCAAACCTTCTCCTTAGTGACCGCTTCAACAATGTTTGACGAGTGTTGTCGTCTTTTATTCTGCTTCGAATGACCCTCTGGATGCAGTCGTTCCTTATTAGATCTAGGGATTTTTTCAAACTGAAGTATTTCAGTCTCGGATTAGCCATAAGTGCATCAACAATGGAGGAATGCCCGCCCTTGACCGCCAATATCAATGGATCCTTAGAACATTGATTCCTAAGGTTTACATTAATTCGATTATACCGTAGCAGTGCCTATACCACCTCTAGGTCACCGCTACGGGTAGCTATGTAGAGAGTAGTGTCGTGAGTTGCGATCGTGCTTTCATTGATGTTCAGACGTGCGTCTTGTTGCACTAAAAGTCGTACCATATCGAGATGGCTATATACAACCGCTCGACAAATAGGCGGATCTATTAAATCTATTCTATTAATCTCCACGCCCTCTATACTTAGTAGACAAGCAACCGTGTTCACGCGTCCGTGATATACGGCCACGGAGATTGGAGAGTGGCCTCTAACATAGAGATTTAGACTAATCCCTAGCACCGCAAGTAGCCGTCGTAGGAGCACGGTATCCAACCTAGCCGCGGCGTGGTGGAGAGATGTAGACGGCATCTCGAATCTCCCGCGGCCTCTAACAAAACTGACGTTGATGTCTTTCTCGGTTAACAGCCTTTCGGTTATCCCGTCGCATAACGAGTAAGTAGATAGCTAAAGTGGCGTATTGCCATGTTTGTCTTTGTAGTTCACGTTAGCACGGGGGTGACTTAGGAGCAAATTGACTATTTCTAGGCGCTTGTCTAGAATGGCGAGATAGAGCGGCGTAGAGCCTTTCCTATTTTGGATGTCTAAGTTCAGACCCTTTTGTCCGAGAAGCCGTTTAATAATATCTACCGACCTATAGGATACTGCTTGGTGAAAGGGTAGCTCGGCCTCCTATAATAATTGGGTACTAAGAAACACCTCGGACTTCGGATCGTTTAAAAAAATCATTTCTATCACGGGCCTATTAAAGCGACGTACATAGTCCTATAGCGAGTGGCCCGAATCATCCTATAGATTAGGGTCGCTGCCTCTAGAAAGTAGCAGATACACGAGCCCTATTCGGCCTACGAAGACTGCTAGGTAGAGCGCCGTTCGGCCGTGTTTATGCTTGACGTCCACCTAGACGTTCGGTTAATTTAAGACGCTCTTGATCGCGGAAAGGTTTCCGTAGCGGATAGCATACCACAGGGCGCTCTCCCGCGCTTGATTTTGAATATTGATATCTAGGTCTTCACGACTAAGCAAGAGGTCACGCACAGTAGCGGACGAGTATTTAAGCGCCCTTATGAAAGGAGTTTTGCCGCGGTAAAATGCATTGATGTTAGCGTTATACTAGAGCAAAGCCTCCGCAAGACCAACGTTGTCGTATTTGACGGCCAAGTGTAACAGATTGCTATTCTGAAATTTGATGTTGTATTTCTAGATGCTAGGCTGCAGTTTAAAATTAAATCCTTTGCATGATTTTACGAGGGCAAATAATGCACTACCGTCCAAATACGACACAATCCACAGTAAAAGCTCGTTAGGCAGGTCTCTAATGTTTAGCTATAATATATTAGCTTATCGGTAAACTCCGTAGGAACGAATTGAAACAGACCATGATTGGACAGCGGATAGAGCAAACGAAATGTAAATAGGGGTGAGGTGAGAGTTGTGAAAGTAGGATATAGGAGGCCTTTATATACCCACCTCAGCCAAATTCCGTGGTCAGCTAGGAGTGTAGTCTATCACTCCGCTAAGAGGTGCGTAGCAATCACACGGCAGCATCAAAGCCTTGCCAACAATGCTCAGGCGGAGTTAGAGAATCTCTAGAGTCTAGCTCCTAGGAACGCCAAAACTGTTCCTGGTAGTGTGTTGATGGCATAGGAACCGAATCTATCTCTACGTACCCACATCTTACATCTAGTGCCATAAGAATAGATCATAACCTATCACGCACTTCGAAACTCATAGGCAACCTAGAATCTAACGCAGCATTTGTCGACTTCGCTGCCTACCGCAGTAGCCAATCTGTTCGCCAATGTATGGTCACCGCGATAGACAGCCACAAGTGCAGCTGATTGCAGCAGTGATCTGGAATGATATCCCTTCTCGCAGGCCACTGATCAGCCATATAGCGGCGCATACTACGTGCGAATGCATTCTCGGACGTACCGACTGTTTTAAGGAAGTGTTCTATACCAGCCACGCAGCCATGTAGGTAAGGAGCCCACGCGATGGCATATAAAGCTGGCGAGGGAACGCTGCGGTGATTGCCCAACACCACCACAATCCGAAGCATTTTCTGCCTTTGACGACCACCTTAATAACTACTATGCTGCCTTAGAATCCGTTTCTGGTTTGTGAGATAGAGGTCAGCCCCAATTGCGGTCCTAGCTCCTATTGCGGGATAACGAAAAAAGGCGAGCCATGTAAGAACTCGATCAAAGTTAAAGACACCAAAATCGGCTATCAAAAGTTGACCACTCTCGCTAGGGAGCCGTTTAACTTATCAACCTTGCAGTCGAAGCTCTGTGATATGGCTAGAGACTTCCTCTGCGCAAGATGGCACCGGCAACGGTAGGCCGACCAAGTTAGCCAGCAGTGGTATAAAGCCGCCGTCCGCAACCAGGCGCGAGTACCACATAGCTCCAGAATGGCTTCTCTATCAGTCATTGTACATCGGGGCCAGCGTCAGACGTCGTCAGCCTCTAGGCGACGCCCTGCCTTAGATAACACCCGGTCATCGCCACCACCGGTGCGCCTGTCAACCAACCCCGAGCCAGTGCAGCTATTCAATCCATTTGTGACCTCTACAATGCTGCGGACGCACAGTATTCCATAGCGTGTTTCGCCGGCCTAACCGGCTATTCTAGCGTCGGTCGCTAATATCTAGGCAGGTTTCTAAGAATTGACGCTCCAGAGTCTCGCCCCGAGTGAAGAGGTCGACAACATCCACTATGTGTTTTGCCTAGCCGACGATAAAGACCATGCGAACGAGCATGTAATCTTGCGCTGCCGTTAGTGTACATCGCTCTGTCATCTATCCTACGCGGAAGAATGGTTCGAAAAGCGAGATACAGGCTTTGGCACGTTATGCTGTGTGTGGTAAGTGTGGATAACCTTTTTTCTGCGACTAGGATACTGATGATTACAGTCGAAACGAAGGAGCCCTAGATGCCTTGATTCGCCCGTTACGGATCCCCTCGTCGGATGCTGAGACACATTCCGTCCTCACAGCAAGTGACTCGTCTCCCACTAGTGGGCCCCGTCGCTCGGCCAGACTAGTAGGGGCCCACCTACCGCGAGGCCCGTCCATCTCTGCACCGCTTCGCCGGTCGGCACGACTCTCCACTCTACGTGGGTAATCGTAGGGTGCAGGCGAGGTAAAATGGAAATAGAACAAGCGACTGCCAGTCACACGTGAGTGCACGTGACCGACACTCGGCACCGTGATCAGCAACTGTGGCCATAGCATTGATATAGATTTTTGAAGCAAGCCTAGCAAGAAATGAGATCCCGATTGTTTAGACTTCAGATTACAAGGCGACCGTCCATCTTTGCAAGTGCTGGACACCACTAAACCTTAGTCAAAAGTTACTGGCTGCGTCGCTCAATTCGAATCTGACATAGTTACCTTACCAGCGACGACAAAAGAGACACGGATTCAGCTCAGTGGAGCCGTGTCGAATAAGGCGGAGATTGTTGACAGAAAACGCAACTCGTGGGGCTGGAGCAACTGACAGATCTCTGTGCTTGTTGAATTGACTGTAGAAATCACTATGTTGACCCTGGAACCTTCAAAAGCATTTCTAGGGGCTGTTTATCCCCTAGGAAATCCTCTTTAGGTCCCGGGGCTATTTCTAATACTAGGAAAATGAGATCTGCCCCTGGGATCTTCACTTTACGTTCCTGACTGAATACGACACTGGCTCTGGGAATACATTGACCAGATCTGGGAGCTGTGGAGCCCCTGGGAGCTTACCTTAGGGTCCTAGAGTCACTATCTTGCCTTCCGAGATCGCCGAAAGCCCTCACAAAACACCTTCACGGGACCTGCGCACAATTCTGCGTCATTGGATCCCCCAGGAGGCCAAATCATCGCCCCAGGAATCAACAAGTCGTCAACAGGAACGCGGCTTTGATTCCCCGTGGTGGTGATAGCAGACCCCAGAAGCTACATCGGGTTTCCTGGGGGCTACGTGGCTCCTAGAAGCTGCTTCTTCGCTCCCAGAAACGTTTCAGAGGCTTCCGGGAGCAAGCGAACTCCCAGGACCAAGATGTGTGTTCCTGGCACTGATAGGGCCGTCTGTGAGGGTCTCACGCATCCGTAGATGAGGACAGCGTATTCAGATCAGTAATCAATATTAAATAAAGCTATAGTCGACTCTAGATACAAGACGTAGCGAGAGGAAGCAAAAGAAAGGTACAGTGAAATTTGAAATCAAGTTTTACCTGCAAACTCTCTTTTTCTCTATTCCTTCGGGCCCACCCTAAATGCACTAGTCCTGATTAGGTATCTTCCCGCCAGCCTTGTATCCGTCGATATGTGGGTGTAAATTACGTACGGTAATATCGTCTGTTGGCCATAGTTTGTCATTGGCCCAAACAGGACCACAAACGCGCTCGGCTTCACCCTATGTCGCTGTTGAACGAGTCGTTATAAATTAAGTAATACAATTTATAGCCTGTCTGGGAAGTCAGGCTGCTTTACATTCAGTCTCTGTACACGTACAGTACAGCAATATTCAGAAGACCCCCCGCCCCAGACACAGACAAATTGTTTCTCGGCCTGTACATATGTATCCGAAACCGCAAAGCAGTATTTATTTGATCCCGTAGTTGACCCCTGCCTAGTTGTATTGTTTCAAACCTGGAAGAATGTTCTAGGCAGGATCTCAGCGTAAGAGAAACCCGCGTTTGTCAGGCAGGACCCTGTCAACCAGGCAAGGCATACGATGCTGATATCCATACCAAAATGGCAAGACAGAGACCAAGGGTATTATGCTCTCTCTGACGACAAAACTGATTCTTGGGGATCGCAACTTAGTTCCTCTGCGAAGCAGGAAGGTCATGTAGGCTTGTCGCTGACATGATGTCGCAATGGTGGCGGAAAGACAGTCAGTCACCTGCGCTTCGATGCCGGTCTAGGCTTCTGCCGTCGTCCGATGTTGACTTTTTACCAGCTTCCATGGATGAAGCAAATGGAGCCTCAGGCAACGTGACAGCCTGCCCAAATCAGGCTAATGCGGGGAAATCCATCACTTTCATAAGTGTTCAGATTCGCATCTTCCTTCCTGCTTCCTCACAACATCTTAAATCTTCAATACTATCAAGAAACAGGAATGTCCGTCATTCAAATTCACCCTTCGGTCGATGTTATTTGGTGGACAGATACCGACCTTCATATCAAGTGTCCTTACTGCGAAGAGCTTCATCGTCATGGGTTCGTTTCCTACGAAAGTGCGCTTCGCGTGCCGCACTGTGGCATGCCTCGGCCGTGATATCGGTTCAAATTCCCTAATACCTACGAGATCAATAAGACTAAAGCACGTTTTATCAACATCAACACCCTTGAAGATTTGGAGAGTGAGGCTAAGAATGTGTCTGAAGATGAGACATTCTTGTCGCGTGGAATTTCCAACATGAATTTATCTGAAACACCAAATGGACCTCACGAAATTGAGGCCACCTTCGCTGATTCTACGGAACAAATCACTTTCCAACTTGATGGCGAAGAGCCTTTTAACGAGCGGCGCATCCTCTTCGCTATATCAGGCTGTGTCAGTGGCAAAGTATCCAGTGTGAGAAACTACCTAGAACAAACAGAAGAAAAATCGATATTTCTTCACGGGAAAAATCACCAAGGAGATACTTGTCTCATCATGGCTTCTCGAGAGGAAAACCCAATCATGTTTCTCTTCTCCTCGATTATGGCGCTGATATAAACACGGCGAACAAGAACGGAAGGACTGCACTCATGGAGGCATCCCTTTGGGGTAGACTGGAAAGTGCAACGATCTTCTTTCTCGGGGCGCAGATCGGTATTTGTATGACAAAAAACTTCAACGAGCTCTCGACCTTACCCATCCAACTCAGCGAAACCGCAAAGAGAGGCGCACGGTCACAGGTGGGATCTGGGGCGATCCATCCAGAGACCCCATTTACAAGGAGGCTACTCTCAACCGAGATTCTGATCGGCGTGAGATTGCAAGGGTTCTACGCGGGAGAGAAGTGCATACCAGGGCCGATTTGGAGCTACAAGAATCCGAAACGACCTATCACTCGTTTAGAAGATCCCCCGATGGTCAGTCAGTCACTCATTATGGTCAAATTCGACAGTACCCCATATCTAGCTCTGTGAAAACAGTTGCCGTCCTGGAAAGGGGCCGGCCTTTTCCTTCTATAGCGGCGATGAGTGGCTGGGGGCATTCTGAATGGCCTTCAACCAAGGTGAGTGGCAGAGATTGGACTGCAATGGTCCTCAAATTAGCTACTATTGTTGGCCATACATTGTCTGCCTATACTGCAAAAGACCAAGGAATTCAAGGACAGTTCCAAGCATCCCACGCCGAGAAGCAGTTGATCGCCTATTTCCTTGACCGACATGTTTTTCTACAGCAGGATAAGACCCCAAACCCACAATTCGACGAAGAAATTGAGAATCAAGAATCGGAGATCTCGGAAATGGCCTCCCGGTTTTCTAGCATCCGTCAAATGCATCGCCTTCAAAAATATAGGAACAAAGTGGTATTTGGGTTATGGAACAAAGATGATAAATTACTCGGGGATGAATATGATGAAGTGGTGAAGGGCTTGAAAACAAGCGTTGCATCCCTTGACGAGGAAATTGCTGTCCTCGAACGTCGTCCCGAAGCAAGGCAAATGAGGGCTCGAGAGCGTCAGATACGGCTGATTCAGCGTCAAAAAAGGCTTCACGAGCGCCTTAACCGCATGTCAGCAAAGGAGCCAGAAAGAACTTTGCGACGGGCAACTATACTGATAAGCACACCTACGCATGAGGTTTGTGAGGACTGCTTGTTGTTTCAGAACAGGGTCAACCACTTCTTCCGTCTACAGATCGAGTTGCGTGAGTGTACAACGTGAGGCTTGTCGTTGGGTGTCGGTGGGCTTCTGACTTTAAATATTATCTAAATCGATGAATTTGGGGTTTTCTTTATCTGTGATCAGCTTTCGGAGGCCCGTATCTGAAGCCGCACTAAGCTGTATTTGGCCGAGGCGGATATAATCATTTTCTACATCTGCGACCCAACTTAAATGCCTGCTAATGGCTTCACAAATTTATTTTACTGTATCGCTTAGAACCGGCGCAAATATTTCGTCAATTGCCCCATCTACAACCGGATGTTTCTATATCTTCTTGTAAAACATCACCATTATCTTCCCTGGCTGCCCGCCAGAAAAAGATACAAATGACCGGCACAGGTGTTGGTGGCAGTGGAGGATTGGCTAGTGGCCATGTACAGGAATCTATTCTACGATGTGGCCATATGGTTTCCATGGAACTTGTTCAAGGAACTGCTGAAGCCAGTGCTATTTTTTTGACTCGCCTATTTCATTCTCGGAGTTGCAAGCTTCAAATTTTCAACGGGCGTGGGAGCAAGTCCCTCATCACGAGCGCGTATCGATCGACAAACAATGGGGCACATGTCAATTGTTGAAATATGACATGTCATACCTATGGCCTCTATTCTTCGAAATATGTCATATATGCGTTGTTTTCCACACTAAAGTCACCGTGCACTCCAAACTTGCTCAGCATCAGAGTCGAACCATCGTCCTCATAGCGCTGCACCATAGCAATAGGGCTTCCAGATTCATCACATAGAGTCAACTCGACCTCCTTGCCGTTATCAATGTCACCCTTTACCTGCCTTGCGCCGGCCTGTCTGAACATGAACTTGCTGGCACGACTCTTTCGAGCATAAAACATGTAACCGAAGAATGTTTCTTTGTAGCTGCCAGACGTGTCTGCACACAGATAGCGTTGGTGCTTGACTGTCCGGATAAGGTAAGGCACGTTGTATTGGAGCTTCACAGGCGGATTAGTAAGAGAAATCAGATATACAAAAAAGAAATACCTACCTTGGGGGCTTGGTTAAGCTCTCCTTGTAGTTCAACTTCGAAGTTACACCCATCGTCATATTGGTCAATTCCGACATACTCCTTAAAGTTGTTTGTAAAGGATTCACTCTTGACTCGCTCTCGAAATCGTGCGTAGAAAGTACTCGCACTCAAAACGTCAAAAGAGGAATTATCTTTCATTGCGATTTCCTTCACCAAACGTTGACCATACTTATTCAACAATGGCTCTGCATCCCTATTAGCAGGAACTAATTAATTTTGAATACTGTCCAAACATACCAAGTCGTCTCTTTGTCGCATCCTCACGCAGGCCATAGTATTCATTTGCTCCAACACCCTTTTTTTCTTTAGCTCGAAGGCGGAACCGACGATTGACTGGCTTTCTAGTCCCAGCTACAATATCTGCAAAGTGTTTGGGAATGTGCGAGAAATCAGTGAAGCTTCCGATAAAATCCACCAATGGTAGCACATCTTGTTGCTACTTATATTCAGTATATTGACACTTGTCTCTCAATAGCAGGAATACTTACGTTGATGACTCTCCAGTGATTGAACGGCTTAACAGTGTGACACCAATTCGGGGGACTTGAGAAAATTATATGTTAGCACTATGTCTACCTGGATGGGCAGGGACTGTGTTTCGCGGGTCCAACTCACTCATTGCACAAAGTTGTGTCACCGCCCTGAGCTTCCCATGTGAGCGAATTTGACATTTTGCTGCTTTGGTTTGAGCCTGATGACTTTCCATTCTCCTCATAGCTTACGCTGGCCGAAGCTTGGAATGTTCCATACGAGAAGGAAGCTTGAGCGCTAGCCTTCATTGCATTTGATTTCTCTTCTGCACTTGCAGATTCTGAGGAGGTGAATTGCTCAGAGGCATAGAGCTTGCCACCTAGCTGAAGATTGGTAGAAAAGAAATGACCTGTGAAGAGGAGTTAGACACTGAAGTAAAATACATAGGTATAGATCTGTGAAGTATAAACGTGTCAACATACCAAAATTATGGTGGAATTGGACAAGAGTTGCTTCGTCCGTCACTCCTTGCACGGCGGTTTTGCATTCATCTGTTAGCTCCAGACTTCTTGGATCAAGATGCAAGACAACTCTCGGAAACTGAACAATAGGAAGATCTGGTTAGACTGTGCTAAAAGCATCATTCAAACGAAGCCACCTTACATTGTACGTGATGTTCATGGTTCTTGCCGAAGATGATTGAGATGAAGCCATAGCCTGGCTTTCACTCTGGCTGAAACCGGCCTTTGCAGATAGACTGGCACCGAAAACATTTCCTCCACTAAAAAGATCAGTAATAAATTTCATTCTTCATGTCCCAGATAACTCACGCTGAGGCTTCGATATCCAATTGAGAGAAAGAGCTCGATGCAACACTTTTAGAGAGTGCAGTTGCCGTTTCAAAGACGTTGACATAGGAGTCATCAGTCACAACGTATCTAGGGATTCGGTATTCGGTCTGATATTTGTTAGCCAAGAACGTAGATTTCTGACGCTTTAGTATAGAAGAGATTATGAATCTATTGTTACCTCAAGTTTGATGTTTTTGTCGGCCTTTTCCGTGCTAGTCATTTTTCTGGGTTTGATAGAGAATGCTTCATACAAGGTATCAGAGAACACAACCACATAAGCAAGGTCGATGATATACTACACTTACCAGTAAAAGGAGCCTTATCAATCCTCTTGAATCCTTTAGTACCATTTGCATAGGTGGTAAACACCATTCGATGGCCGTTCAGGAATTGGGTATTCCGAAGAACCAAGTCCCAGTCTTCCTCAGACATGCTGCCAGCGACCCTATCTCCTCAATAATCTCAGCCAAGTGGTCTAGAATTATTTTACCATTGAGAACTTCCAACGTTCAGCACTTACACAACTCCCTCCTTAGAGACCCCGGCCTTGAAGTTGGCATGGTTATACTTGCTAGCAAGCTCTTTCAGCGTTGCAGAGATCAACTCAGGTTTATTTTTCTGCGCACGCAGATAGTCAGTTTGAAAATCGTAATGTATGAATGAAACTCACTCCATACCATCAAATCCATATCCAGTTCGCTATCCAAGACCTTCTGAGCCGCTGCGCTTAGCTCAGTCTTCTTCTTCTCCATTTCCTCGGGCAACTCAAGATACACATCAAGAATTTTAATGTCATTGGAAGACTTTGATTCGTCCTGGACCACGTTCTGACGTTAGCATTCCAAGTCCTCTACCACTTTGTGTAGTTTCTTGATGCATATATGCATACCTTTTCGTCCCCCTTTACTATCGCTTGATATACACTCCACTTCATATCATCACCCACACGAGCACCATCCTTACTGCAGAACGCAAGTCGAGCCCTTTTCCAAATCTTTAGTCTTGAATCTCAGGTACATGCATATCCAGGGTATAGATCACCTACTTTCCTGAGTCAAGTTTCTTTTCCTTTGCCAACAGGTTTCGAACCGTGCCTAGGGTGGTTTTCGCGTCGATTTCCGCCTCAGTACTGATGCGATTAGTCAACCTCTCTTCTCCAGAAGAATCAACAGTCCTGATGTTGAAGAGTCGGGTTGTTGCAGGCATGATCGTAGAATATTCGTTGAGGAAAATTGATGGTGTCTAAGCTCTAAACTGGTAGACGGCGGAGTTTCATAGCATTTTTTATACCTACGTAAAGGGCGGTGAATGTAGCTCATTCAGCTCCACAGTTCAGCTGAGATCTATCATCTCGTGGAGGAGACCCACCTAGAAAACTCAGAATCCGATGAAGGATATGCGATCTACATAATGTACCTATGGGTGCGCAATTGAATTGTTTTATATTCACTACCACTGCGTGGCGACCACATTATTTCGAAGAAGTCTATGCTGCCGCCGGATTGAATGCCCACTCAATTAAAAATGAGTTCCGACCCATAGTAAATAGCTTCCTAGCTCTAGACGTGCATTTACCCTTCTGGCAGCATGGTATCTGCGCTTCACGCATGTACCCGCTCTACACTCCCCCGCTTTGATTTTAGCTGTAAATATAACAAGACAAAACCGAGATATTCCATTGGTGGTGAATCAAATGTCGTCGAGGGTACTAGGTAATACAATACGCTATGTCATAGTAGGCATCTAAAGTGGAGAACAGATCTTGCAATCCACCGTGCGAACCCAACACGCAAGCGAATCGAACGCCTCAAGATACCATAGTAAATGCGATATTTTCTTCCTCGGTGTCTCAATTACCACTGGAACTTCTTGGTATAATTCAATTAATATATAAATCGGAAGATGGCCAAGATCCAGGAGTACAACAGGTCGGGCGCTGTCTAGCTATCGCGGCACGCCCCCTCGCGCCAGTTTTTTTGGACGAAGAGCGAATGCATACAGCTGCTTTTGGGAACGGAGTAAGGGGCAGACCGGGGGAGGGGAGGTGGCAAGTACAACAGAATAAGGAGAAGCTTTGACTACAGTAGTAACAGCATGGCTAACATTAGATTAGCCGATGATCGAGAACCGGAAAAAGTTGGGAGAAAGTGGGAAATGCAATGAGGATGGGCATGGCAGATCACGCGACGTGGCCCGTGAACTTCCTTCCACTTCGATTGTTCCACACTCTTCACCACGCATCCTGCATGTTCCGATCCCCATTCCAACTGACTCCTTGCGGTGTATGCCACCATTGAGAACCTGCGAGTCTGTGAGACTATGAGACTATGAGATAGTTCACGCTTTAAAGGGGGGATCGAAGAGGGATCGCCATGCTGAAGTGTCGGTGTCGCAGAGTGGAGTCATAATGGCCACCGCAACACTCCATCTACTGCATTCACCCCATCCACCCCATTTAGGGCCCTCGCGTTTTACTCACTGGGCTTCAATTCTCCTAGGGAAGGGCTAATTTGGTTACTTATGAACATGGTTACTTATGGACACTTGCCGTTACGACCTCGTCTCCCCACTCAGCGCTAGGCTTGCATTTCATTTGCCGCGGTGGCCGGAAAACGGGTAGAAATGGGTGTCTCGACCGCTTCACCTTTCCCCCCCTCGCCCAGGGCACACACACACCATGCAGACCCTCGTCGGTGTGGCTCGGAACCCATTGAACGTGTGCTTGACCCACCTTAATCCGCCCGGTTCTCATCCCACCTCACCACACTTGCGTGTGTACATTGTACGGAGTACTCCGTAGTCAAAAACAGAAATCAACCAAAAAAAAAATAGAATTGAATGGTAGCACTTGTCCTCCCACTTCTCAGACCCAATTTTCTCCATGCTGCTGCAGCTTCACCTTTCCTAGATAGTGCATTTGGCTTCCCTATTCCCAATCCTCTTTCGCCATGGGATGCCTGCTCCTGCAGCTTTGCCCACAAGTGGTGATCGTGCTGCTCTCACCCGGCCCTAATCTAAGCACCGGGCTTCACTAACCCCCTCCCAATGCTGGCCACAAATGCATGGAGGCTGAAGGCGACGTGGTCCAATGGCATGCGATGCCATCGGGCTATTCGTTGATGACGTTCCAGGGCCCAATTCCACACTGCATCGGGGTTGTTGTCCCATCCACCCGGACAACGGACGAACTGTTATATGCTGCCTCGCCTTGACAGTCCAATTGTGATTTTCTCGTCTCCAGACGAACAGTCGTACGCTTCTTCCTCTTCCGTACTCTACTACATCAGTACCCAGTCTGGCGACTCACTAGCTCTCATCTTTCTTGTACCTTCAGAATTCCTCACTCACCCGGACTTTACCCTTGCATCGAGCCCGACATGTGAGTTGCTTTCATCACCTCTGTGGCAAAGGCGTGTCTTCACCTTCCTTGGCCCAAGAACCAAACCGTATGCAATGCGTGTTGACTATGACCTCTATATCATTCGGCAACGCAAATTCAGGGTACAAGGTAAGGGATCAACAAAGGGCCGATATATGTAGCTCCAGGTGAATTTCCCGAGGCGCTTATAGATCCAGGCCTGGTTGACTGACAACGGCCTCCCTGCAAGCCAAAAATTGCCGAGACATTCTACAGGCCACTGATCCTAATTCTGACAAGGACCGAATAGAGAATGAGAAAGATGGTCTTCTCAGAGACCTATATAGCTGGGTGCTGGATCATGCCGATTTCAGAAGTGGCGAAATCCGAGATACGGTCAGCTTCTCTGGATCAAGGGTGACCCTGGCAAGGGGAAGACAATGTTGCTCTGCGGAATCATTGATGAGCTATCTAAGATAGCCACGCTTAACACCATGCAATCTAAAATTACGGTAGTAAAGCTGTATTCAATGCCGACTGAATGTAGATACATCTGGCTGGCGGGAAGATCCCCTAATCTGGATTAGCGCATTCAAGGTGGGGCCGAAGAAATCAAGGGAGGGAGAGTCTACAGGTAAAGCTGATTTCGAATATCACTGTAGCTTCCTCGCGTTCAGGGGAACCCATGTACACCATGTGGATCCTGTGCAGATCATATCTCCTTCCATTCCGTATGCTTTATGTATATCCTTGACGGTGTCAACAGGAATGTAACCGGTTTCGTGATAGTGATAGTGGATAGTCTTACAAGCTACGTACGATTTGCTGGGGCTATGGTATTTCCAGAGTCACCGTTTTGAAGTCTTTACGAACACCATGTTTGATCGATGTTTACACAGAGCAGGTCGTTGTTCGACAGCCCCGGAAAATGTGTCCGATGTCTTGGGAGTAACCCAGCTCCTGGAATCACCCTGAGCTCCCAGGGTCTGCTGCCTTTTTAAAAACTTGCATCAGGTATTCTGGGGTTGGATTGGTCGCTGTATATACCATATTAGTGCACCTCGCGGAAGAACATTTGACCCGGACGTGACGTCGTGGGTGAAGAAATTCGTAAATACATGCTTCCCATCCTACTCTTTCCACAATTAGGCTCCTTAGTGCCACCCTCTGCCTTGAGAGGATGATAACCACTCTTTTTTGATGATGACGACACCCTCCAACCTTGAATACCATATTCATAGGAACTGACTTAAGCAGTTCGGCTTTAGTGGATTCGATGCCTAACTTTCGATTGTAACTTACAATATCATCCCCAATTATATGTTACTCTGAAAAGGGAACTTGAAAGCAAACTCAACCTCTCCCAAAATATTCCTCCTATTTCTGTCTAGCACCCTGCCATTGAATACCGCGTTCGCCTCGGGACCGTACATTCTCTTCCACAAAACAACCGAGCGATCTTCATTATAGGTATCCGACTTGAATTCCATCGCCGTATTATACTCTGAAAATTTGATCGTGTGGGGTTCTCCTGAAGCGTCGATGTAGGGTAGGGTAGAGCCGGGCCGTATATCTTGGTAAAGATCATCCCAATCGATCGCAAAAAAGGAAGATTTCACGGTACACATGTATTTCGACCGTTGAGTCTCTATTTAAGGATGTCGATGTCTCAAGTATACGCCCGTACCCTTTAACCACATCACCGGCATGCTCGTATCGGGGTCTCTGTACACGTATTTGCTCTCCACAGGCTGGACTAAGGCGTCAAATGGCTCTTCAGATGTCGCGAGCTCTGTTGGCGCTTCGTACGTGGGCTGGTTGGGGGTTATTGCCACGATCCAGATTTCAGGCGTATGTATGAGTCCGCCATTGGTCTCCACCTCCACAATTCGACTGCCCCAGTACGTTGCCGGACGCTGGATTCTCTCCATTAAATCCAGAATATCGTTACCAAGAATTAAGACTTGCAGTCCCTTCTTGATTAGTGGCTCAAAGTAGACCATGAAAGGGTCCTGCTCCCTGAGCGGATTCAGATATCTGCTGGCGTAGAGGAATTGTTCTGTGACTCCGAGCAGGTGCGCTATCAAAGAGATTTCCGGGGCGGTGAGTCCACTCAACAAGGGGTCGGCTAGTTCGTAATACTCGCTCTCCGTCATAACCAACTCGAAGATAGACCCGATGACGTTACGATATCGTTGGGGTATTGGGAATCTGTATACCCATGCCTTTGGCTTCATGTTTGGATGCGGTGGGGCAATCGTGGCCAGGCTTGCAGAGAGTATACGGTGTAGCAGTTTTGAGGGATGTTTGCATGCGCTAAGCCGATATGAACATCAGTTCTTTCAGTTGATAGATGATATGCAGGAAATTTTGTTAGGATATACAAAGGAGCGTACGTACTACTTATATTAC